TCCAATAATCTATTTCCCAAATGTCATAAAAAACATAGAATTTTCTCTCATTCTCCACAATATCCTACAATTTCACAGTCCTCTAAATGATATCACTAAGCTTTGTGCACCAGATCCTAACTTCTTTGTGCTAGCATAAGGTCACTCCAGGTCTTAAATACCAAAGTAATTGTCAACTCCACTAATCAGGCTTGACCAACTGTTACCAAGGCACTTGTGGTTCCCTAGCAATAGGTGACTGTAACTGCTAATGTGTAATGTGTAACTGCTAATGTTTAGACATATTAACTGAACTACCAAGTAAACAATCCAACACACCCCTCACTGTGTTAGGCCAGATGCAGAAATTATACTTTTTCCAGTTTAGGTCGTCAGAAATCAGTCTATACCTATAACAGGATAGAAGTTCAGGACACACAGACTGCTTTAAACATGGAAGACCCTGGTCCAAGAGAGACCTGGATCAATGCAGTATCATAGACATTAGGGCAAGATCATCGGGTCCAGCCCCTCACCCAAGGGGTCAAAGCTGCCCTGTGCCAGGAGCACAAAAGGGCTGCGACTTCAGCCTCCCATCACGGAAGGCACAGAGCCCAAAGGGTTAAAATGAGGCCTCCTCCCCCAAGGTCAGAGGGGTTGGGAGCACAGCCCTGTTCACAGGGTGTGGGAGGAGACCTTCTCAATAATACTAAGAGCAGCAGAACAGAGCAGAGACCTGGACCTGAATTACAGGAAGGTGACTAAGCCTCAGGGTCCCAATGTGCTCAGTATCCTCCAGAAGCCTGCAACCTTCCCCGTAATCCATGGGTATTGTGTCTGGCCAACCTCACCAAGTGGAACTAGACTTGAAGAAATCAAGGGAACCTGCACCTTGCTTACAGGCTGCAGGCTGGGGTTGGGGGCACAGAAAACAACTGGCCAAGGGCCAGGGCATTCGCCTCCGGGGACTCAGGTATGGAGCGCAGAGCCATCCCTCAAGACAGATGGTAGTAACCCTTCTTGTGAGCTAACAAGTAGCCAAAAGAAAATGCTTGCCACCCAAAAAGAGGGGGCTGAAGAAGTGTACCCTGAGACATAGGGAGGGAGGTCGTGTGGCCAAAGTCTTGCGGGGAGGGGCTAATACTCCCCAAGGCCAAAAGGCACAGAAATGTATACTAGTGCTTAACCCTCTAGGTGAGGAGGTGGGAGGAGAAGGCTGCAGACTTCAGGAGAAGGGTAGGTCACACCAGTCTATTGAACATTAATGCCAGGTCCACTCATGAATCAAGGTAGGACGCTGTCTGCCAGTATCCCAGGGGACTTTGTAGGTTCCTGCTAGCTCGCTTTCACAGGGAGGGCACAGCTCAGTTGCTCCAGCTGAGCACCTAGCCAGACTCACCCCTGACCTCTCAGCCTGTGAACCGCAGGCAGGACAGAAGCAGGGGAAGTGGGGAAGAAAAGGGCTTGTGAGCTGCTGGGGGGAAGTGGTGCCAGCGGTGCACCCTGCATTCCCAGCTGGGTCGGTGGGACATAGAGTGTCCCTCCCCTGTCCCAAGCCCTGGTATCATGCAATGCAGTAGCGCCAGGAAGGACTCAGAGGGTTCCCTACTCCCACACCTCCAGAAATAGCACCAAGTTCCTAGCTGAAGCCACTTCCTTCTGTGCAGCCACAAGGGACTTCAGTCTCTGGGGATGGGGAGGCAGCCATGTCCTTGTGGCTGCAGGATCTGACAGGTGAAATACTAGTGCTAAGATTGGGCAGGGAGGCAGTGAATCCCTGTGCTGGGCTAACCTGGCAGCCTCCCCTCCCCTCCCCCTGGAAAATGGACCTGTCTGAGCTGAGCCAGGCCAGCTGGCAGCAGTCAGCACTAGCAGCAGGTGGGGCTGGGTGAGGGCTCGGTTGGCTCCCCAGGCAGTGGCCCCTGTTCCCACACTGGAATCACACCCCCACCAGGTGATGCAGCTGCAAGGGCATGGCTTTCCCCCACTTCTCCCCAGGGACCAGAGCCTGGTGACTGCATGGGAGGAATCAACTTCATCCAGCAACTCAGCACTGGCTTGGGGGTAGGGGTGGAAATCCTAAGTCCTTCCCAGAGCTGCTTCAACACATGATCCTGGGGCTGGGGACATGGGAGGGACACTCTGTGTCCTGCTGGCCTGGCCAGGAATGTGGGGTGCACTGCCAGCACTACTTCCTCTCAATGAGCCCTTCTTCCTCCTTGCCTCTGTCCTGCCTGGGGTGGATCTCCACGCTTCCCCCACTGGACAAAGTCCAGGGATCCCCATGCCACTGAGGCAGGGTGAGTATGCCTCCGTCCACTGGCTGCCTGCAGCTGAGAACTACTTGGCAGATGACACGGTGGCAGGGGGAGGTGTGTGGCTGACAACCAGTGAGGGATGGCCCCCACTCGGCTGCCCTCAGCAATGTCTGGCAGGCTGGGAGATGCGTGGGAGCACCCCCAGCTCCCTGGTCTCAGCCAGTGCAGGCATCTGCCTGCCTCTTCTCACCGAAAGGCAAACATGAATCCTGCTTGCTTCTCATCCAACCTACGCAGCTCAGAGAGACCCATGTAGATTGGATGGGTTCTGCCTCGGGCTTTTTGAATGCCTGTACTTAGCCTTAATGACAAACTTTAACTATCTATGCTGATTTTAACAAATAGTCTAAATAAATCAAAATACTTCAGGAGTGTGTAGTTTGTTAACTTTGATGCCTTTTTTTTCCAGGCTTAATTTACAACTTTGATTAGAAAAAATATGACATACCAAAATCCACAAGTTTAACTCCTCCTTCAGTGGTCAACAGGATGTTATTTCCCTTTATATCACGGTGGATTGTTTTGTTTTCATGTAAGTGCTGAAGCCCCTGAAAAATAAGTTAAAAACATTCACTTTTTTCTTTCGTTGTTGTTGTTGCTAATTGTTATATTTTGTGTGTTTTATTTGAAGGCAGAAAAAGGAAATACAAAATACCAAAAAGTTAAAACAAAGAACAATTTGGGGCCTCAGCCTTTCTGAGCTTAGATTGAAAATGGGGCAAAAATTCTAAAATGAACTAATCCTTCATTTTCCAACAGACAGGCACTTACTGTATAATACTCAATGTATTTTTTCAGTTTTTCTAAGACTTCGAGAACTTTTGGTAGAAAATCCATAGAAATGCTAGACTAGAAGTTTTGAACTAAATTGAAAGAATGCCTAGTAGACTGTCAGCCAGGTGTGGGATAGACAGACTTTTTAATAACTTCACTTACAGAAACAAGCTGTATGATAGCAGAAGAAGAGAAGCCATTAATTTTGGTTATATGTTGTACCATTAAATAGCAAAACCAAAGCAAAGTTCTCGGCACCAATAAGAATGACTTTACAGCAAAATCAAATTCCAATTAAATAGGAACAGTAAGAAAGACACTTTATTTTGATTAACTAAAAAGATATTTATTTAAAGAGTATTTTCAATTATTTGTAAATTATTTTGTTATAACAACATCTTGGATGCTGTACCATAACTTTGAAAAAGAAACATGCTTGGTATATTGTTCTTACAACCCTAAAAGAAAGTCAATTTAGATGCAAAGCTGTATTTATTTCATGGAAACAAGGAGAAATAAACATTGCCTGAAATCAATGCTCATTTTTCTGATAATGAAACATTTAGATGAATTTCCCCTTTACTTGTTTTTATTCAAACATCATTGTGTAATCTAAACATCATCCTCATTTCATTAGATAGCCTTATGATATAAAAAAATTCACCATATTTTGAAAATAGGAATACATCTTATTTCTTGAAAGACACTACTTTAAATTAGTTATCCATTTTATTGTCCGTTTATTGACATGGTTAGCTTACCATAAGAGCTTCATGTAAAATGTAAGCAATTATAAGTTCATCCATCCTTTCCCCTCTCTTCAAAAATCCTTTCACAAGATCAGTCACAGATCCTCCATTGCACAGCTGTAAAAGACCATATTGCTTTAAAATACAAGATAGAAAATGAGGACAGAGAAATCACATTAATTCTAATTTTCAGTAGATTTCATTTTCAATTCTGTACAGGATCCTCAAACTCATCATTTAGAAATTAACTTTTAGTGCCTTTCATACTATCTATAAAGCAATTGTTTTTACTATTTGTACCCAATAGGTGCATCTACACATCGCCGTATGGTGATGTTGCTATGGCACTATGCTTCAGTACTTCCTTTTGGAAGTACTAAAGTATGGTACAGTATGGGTGGTTAGTGTGCCATGCATGTGGTAAATTTTGCCACTACATCACCATAGCAGTGCGCTATACCTCGGGAGCATGCTGCTATGGCAATATAGCTGGCAATCACATGTAGATACACGTGATCACTACATTGCCCCAGCACACCAGGAAGCGATGTAGTGCATTGTTAAGTCACCGTAGGGTGATGTGTAGACGTGCCCAATATTGTTTATTTTCCCTACATCTAACTGCTCTCCTCTTCTGAAGAGAGACAGTGTGTCTTATATTGCTGTTCTTTTTTTATGATAATCTTTTTTTGAAGCTAAATTCCTGTAGTGCAATGGGTTAGCTTTTAAAGAGATTTAATTATTGTTGTGCAACTGGCTAATTTGTAAACATGTTTTGTGGAGGTATTCTGATTTCTCCTTAAGTAAGTATGCTGTACACCGTAAGTACACTGTACTTACTTAAGGAGAAATCAAAATATTTCCCAGAGCACTCCCCAGGTATATCATGCCACTATGGTAACATAGTGGTGAAAATTACCTGTGCGCTATGCGCACGATACAGTAACCACCAGTTGTGGAGGTGGTGTAGATATGTTGGCAGGTGTTACATTTCTTTTCATGGCATAGTCTGGATCCATTTGGTGTATTTTGGGCTGTAGGAAGTTTGAATTTCTGATGGAATAATCTGAGATTGAGTTCCATAAGAAATTCAACAATCATCACCCCTCCATCAGACTATCTCTTGAATACTCCAACACCAACATCTCCTGTTTAGACACGATGATTCATATCCAGAACGGTAAAATACAGATCATGATATACATGAAACCTACAGACCAACAGACATATCTGCACATAACCAGCAATCACCCTAAGCACAACAGGAAAGCTGTAATATACAGCCAAGCTTTCAGAAACCACCACAACTGCACTGAGGAGAGCACCTGTGATTGCCACCTCACAAATTTCAAAAAGGCTTTCACTCAACAAGGACACTCCTCCAGAGAGACAGATCACCCAGATACCACATGAAGAATTGCTGCAGTACAGAAGAAAACCCCTCCACGAATTGCACACCATTGGTTATGACATATCACCCATCCCTGGAACCTATACGAAAAATCCTGAAACAATTGCAACCAATACTAGAAGAAGAGCCAATTCTTAAAGAGATCTTCCCAGAACCACCCAGCCTAGCCTTCAAACAAACACCAAACCTTGCTGACCTCATCAGCAGAAGCAAACTTCCTATGGCCCAAAACACACTGAATGGATCCAGACAATGTCAGGACAAGAAATGTAAAACCTGCCAACATATCTCCACCACCCCCACAATTACTGCACCCCACAACAGAACCATCACCATTTCTGGATCTTACAGCTGCACCTCCAGAAATGTAATACATTTCATCCAATGCACCAAATGCCATGATGGAAAATACATAGGAGAGACCAAACAAGAACTGCACACCAGAATGAACACACACCCGAAATCTATCAAAGACAAGAATACCCAATTACCCACGGGGGCACATTTCTCACAAGAAAACCACTCTCTCTCCAATCTCTCAGTTCTAATCCTCAAAGGGAATTTACAAAACACCTTTCACAGAAAAGCCTATGAACTTCAGTTCATAAATCTATTGGATACAAAAAATCATAGACTAAATATAGACATTGGATTTATGACACATTATAATATGCCTAACATCTGACTCCCCAGGTACCTCTCCACTATTTACCAGCTGCATTCATTCCCCTTTCCACCCCGCCCCACCACGCCACCTGTTTCTTACCCACTGACTTCTCAATTTACATCTTCACCTACTGGCTTTCTTGCATGCATAACAGCCCAATCTCTGGCTTCTTTACTATTCATTCCATCCAGGAAGAGCACACACTAACTACAGATGCTTCCTCAGCCTGACAAAGGGTATTTATACCCGAAAGCTTGCAAAGAAGAATTTTTCCAACTATTTGAGTTGATCTAATAAAAGATATCAGATTTACCCAAAGACCCCTGTCTGTCTATGAAGGCTTATAATGAATAAGAGCAGCTACTTTTGGAGAGTTTGGAGGCCTGATGGTTGCAATGCTTCCATTTCATAACCTTTAGGTATTCAGTTACATAAACCAGATTTTGTTTTATTTTATACTGTAAGATTTGTGCTTGTATTTTTTCTGATCAATAGAATGAGAAGAATATTAAAAAAAACTGGTGCAGTGTCACAATGTAGGTGGTTAAAAGAGAGAAAGAGAGAGAGAGAGAGAGAGAGAGAGGGATTATTAAAAAGCATGTTCCAAATAGAAAATGAGATTAAGGGTGACATTTTAGCCACATGCTCTTCTCTGAGCCACAGGGAAAAAAATTAGTATTAACCTTGTTCTATTTTTTCTATGCCCAAAGAAGACTTCATAGGCAATATGTCATGTCTAATACATTTTCTATTTCTATTGTCTATTTTTACTAGCAGTGCTAGCACTTGCTTCTTTGCAGCCATGTTGCTAGGTAGAGATTAAAGGGAAGGGATTATGTTTTCTTTTATGAAGTCACTGAGCTAAATGTATATTCAACAATGCAAGTTAATCATAAATGCAAAAAAAATCACTCTGGAAAAATAGACTTCTATGGTACAAAAGTCGATATGATTATGCCTCCTTTTGAAATCTCTCCCTAAAAAAACCTAGCATGTCTACAGTGTGTGGAAGGCATTGCATTTATGGCATAATTCACATGCTAATTGTGCCATACATTATAACATGCCACACATGCAAAGAAGTTTCAATCTGGGGCTTCCCCTCCATCAGCAGACATGCAATGAGATCTGAAGTATTCTTCCCAGATCCAAAAAATGTGGAATAACTGTGGGGCTGTTTTGACCCACTCATCAATCTTGTGCTGCCTGCACTCTTACAGTCCAAGTGCCCATGTGCTTTTTTGAACATGCTGAGAGAGGCATGGGGAGGGGTCCCAAGACCAGGGAGATGCTCCCTGATCTTGGGCTCTCCTGAAGCCACACAGTGCAGCCTGCATAGGAGCACGTTTAAGGACCAGCAGTGCATTTAAGGCCACAATCATGATTCCAGGCTTCCTGCATGCCAGTAAATTGAAAGATGTACTGTGTAGCCCAGCAATGGAGGACCAATTCCCTGATGCTGGGTTCCCCAGTACACCTTTAAAGGTTCAGGTACAAGGACAACTCTGGTTTGGAGACTGGGTCCCTGACACAGGCTCCCATCCCTCCCCTCCGTGGGCTAGCAGATCTAATTTAATCCCTTGGTCTGGAATTTTCATATGAAGTCACTGCTAATGAGTCCTCAATTATGGGTTTAATGTGCTGCACAGGGCCTTGGACCCTGGATTTGGAGTGAATTTCATCCTGCAAAATTATTTGAGTTAGAACTGTATATCTTATTCTGTGAAGGTCATGGTCAATAGACTGAAGTTGTTTTAACATTCCTATATCAGAATTTGTATATTTGGTTTGGTTTCAAACATCAGTATTTTATGTACTACAGTTAAGAGCAGAGCTGGAGCTGGGGCAATGGGACACATGGGGGAAGCAGAGACTTCCAGTTACCGCTACGCCACTGGTGCAGTTTGATGCGAAGTAAGCATCTGCATCTACATGTGCACTTGCATACTACCCAGTAAACCTGCCTAATCCCAAGCAAATTCGTAACCTGCAAATGCAAGTAGCAAATGTACTTGAGATTAGTAATGGTGCAGTAGCGTTCATGTAGATGTCTGACCAGGAGTAAAATATGCTGCTGGTCAGCTGTCCACCAAGGAGGTGGAAGATAACTTCAAGCCCCTTGCTCTGACACCATGATCAGGGAGTGGAGGCCTGGGAGACCCTTATCTCCCAGAGCCGGCTCTGTGAACCCTTAAGGATCTCCCAGCACTGCCCCACAGTCAAGGAGCCAGCGCTGGGAGAAAAGGATCTCCCAGCACTAGCTCACAACGGTGGAGCTAGTGTGGGCAGATAAGGATCACCCAGCATCGGCCCCGTGGTCACAGAGCTGGTGGTGGGAGTCCCCTACTGATGGAGGCAGGGGAGCCTGTTCCCCACTCTGCTCTGCGAGCACAGAGCTGAGGGGGGAACATGCTTGGGAGCTTGTTTCCCACTCAGCTCCACACTCATGGAGTTGGGTGGGGAAGAAGCCCCCCAACCTGTTCCTGCCCCAGCTCCAGGCTCATGGAGCTGAGTGGGGAACAAGCTCCCCAGCTTGTTTTCCCTCCACCTCTGTGCTCACAGAGCTGGGCAGGGAACAAGCCCCTCAGCTTCTTCCCCCTGCCCAGCTCCTGGCTTATGGAGCTGAGCAGGGAACAAGCTGCCCAGCCTCTACCCAGCATGCAGGGCAGGGGCTGGGAATTGTCCTGGTTAGGGGCAGGTCCCAGCCCCATGCCCCGATCTGGTGATTGAGGCAAGGGGCTTGGAAAAGGCATGGGGCTTGATTGAGGCAGGGGGCTAGGACCTGCCCCTCCCCTGAAGCTCTTTTCATGTCCCCTATCCCTGATCAGGGAATGAAGGCCAGGAGCTCCCTGCTCCAGCAGCAAGCAGCCCCCACAGAGCCAGGAGACAGCTGTCTCCTGGCCCAGTGCTCCCTGCTAGCCCCTGATCTAGCACATAGGGGGAGCCTTGAGCTCCCCTTGGTGGTGGCAGGGCCCATTGCAGGGCTGCAGGAAATGGTGCAAAGAGCAGCAAATCTGCTCCCTAATTCCCACATGTGTTGATGCCTGCCCAAAAGTGCTTACTCCAGAGTAGTTTACACCACAGTAAATTTAGGCCAGATGAAATGTATGTGTAAATGTGCCTGGTCAGAAGTATCACATTCATTTGGCTCTGTGGGCTGGATCTAGACTGTGGGGCTTCTCAGGCCACATGACGCACTTCTGGATATAGCCCAGGGGCTTCTGCCAGCAGTGAAGGAATTAACAGATTGATTCCCAGAGCTGCTGTGTCAGCACCAGCAGCCAAGAAGTTAACAAGCTGCCACTGCTCGACACCAATTGGTGCTGCTGCAGAAGCCATACCAAGAAGCTCAGTGGCTAGATCAGGATGTGAGTCCATCACCCAGAGTTAATTCTCTTGCTGGTGGTAGCCTCCGTGAGAAGCCCCATAGCCTGGATGACCCACTCACATAGGCCAGAGCCTGCCTGCAGGCCATATGTTTAACATTCCTGCTATAATATGGAACACAAAGACACAGGGTGTGTCGACACATTCACTCCACAGTGCAGTTGTCACCATGCTGTCATTTAATACTTGCTTTAGTAAGTACTAAATGATAGTGCAGTACAGCCATCACTGTGCCATCCCGGAGGCTCACTGTTATTTTTAGCAGCTACATCACCATAGTGACATGCTATAGAGTGGTAGTTCCTTGCTTTGGCAACATAGTGTCAGCATCATGGATTGTGCCCGCTGATGCTACATCATCGTAGTGTGTCGCTACAGTGATATAGTGTCATTTGTAGAAGCGCCCACTGACAAATAATGAAGGGCCAGGTGCACGGAAGGATCTAAACACCTAGAAGTGTGATTTAGGAGAATCTGGGTGCCAAAACTGGGACCCCCAAAAGCTCTACTTAGTTGCTTCCCAAATCTCAAAGTCTCTAAACAAATGTGTTTTAGTTTTTGACAATTAAGTTTCCCATGTGCCTAATG